GTGTGGTAGGGCTTTTCCTCGGGAATTCTAAGCTCGTCAGGGCCGCGCTGAAATGCAGATGTGGCCTCATTTGAATGTGTCCATCAAGGAGGGGATGGGTCTAAAGACTGGCTGAGCTTGAAGCGCGGGAAGCAGTTCCTTCTCGGTCTTACTTGTTAAAGCAGACGGGACTGGAGGTATCACAGTGCATCTTGGTAGCATGGGTAAGTCTTGTTTCATGGAACTTTGCTTTTTTTTTTTTTTGTCTTCCCAGATCACGGAGGAAAGGATGCGTTTTGAGTTCATTTCTTAGGATGTACTTTTAACATGGGTCCCGTTCAAAAGGTTTTGAAAATCCTGGGCGAGAAACGTGTTATCATCTAGAACCTGGTGGGGGATGGACCTTGGCCTCCAGGAGACTTGCAGTGTTTAGACTGCGGTGAATGTAGCTGCCTTGGGCCACAGGCCTCAAACTTTTAAGACAGATAAAGGAGGAAAGTAAAAATGCCTTTTCCTGAAAGTTGATGCCAGGTTAAAATTTCTTTAAAGTTGTATTCTTAAATTTTTGTTTAAAAAAATTCATATAAATAGTATATGTCACTGGAATCTCCTTAAAGTTGCATTCTTAAAATTTTGTTTAAAAAATTCATATGAATACTATATTTCACTGCAACAAATGGCTAAATCTATTTTGTATTAAAATGTTCACATTATTAAATCAAGAGAGTATACCTGTCTTCCCTTTCTTCCCCCCTCTCCCCCCACCAATTATCTCTGCAAGTGACACTACCATCCACCCAATTACTGCAGCAAAAAACCCTTGGACCACTTACTCAGTGTTGATTTCTGTTTGCCTTTATCCAATCCTCCAGCAAGTTTAGAAGGTTCTATCTTTGTTTTCCCTGGCTCCCGCCATTTCATCCCAACACCTCCTCCAAACCAACTGCACTCTTCCTGGATTGCTAAATAACCCAAGGGATTTTTCTGCTTTCACCCTTGCCTCCCTCTGTCTATTCCTACACCAGCCTGAGTAATCATTTTAACCTCAGCCAGAGCAGATTATTTCCTGGTTTGAAAGAAATCCTGTAATGGCTCCCACTGGTTTATGAAAGAAATGCAAATGGCTCCACTGGCTCACAGGATTCTGCAAGGTCCTCAACCTTATCTCAGACCACCTGGGTCTCTGCCAGCCCCATTTTGTAAAGAGTATGGCTTCCTTTGTCCTCTAGTTTGTTAATCCCTTTGTACTCCCTGCTGTGGCCTGGAAAGAATACTCTTCCAAGTCTTTCCACTGGCTGATACTTTGCTTTTACAGGTCTCCACCTAATGCTCCCACCTTGGAAGCCATTCCAGACATTCTTTCTCAAGATGGCTTCCCTTTCATTTCCTTTCCCTTTCATACCCTAATTGCTTTTATTTCATATCATTTTCCTCAAACTTAAACTACCTTGTTTATTTATCATTTCACAAATTATTTACATTTATATCCACACAGATAAAAGCTCCATGAAAACCAGAAACGTGGTATCTTTTTTTTAATGCTCTAGCATCAGCAACTAGAACGTTTGCCACTAAACATTTGTCAAATGACTGAATAAGTAAATGATGTACACTCAGAAGTACTTCTATCCCAGCTTGAGAAATATAAAACCATATTACTCTAATACCATAATAATGTATTTGTTTAACATCCAGATTCTTTTAACACCGTGTTTACCCAGTGTGTTTTCTAAGTAATTATATTCACCAACAGAGATTGTACCTGTCATACAAACAGGATTTTTCCCATTATAAATTGATAAATTACTATTTCAATTTTATATGTCATTCTCACAAACTAGAATATTGTGTGAGAAATGGTATAATGGTTAGAGATCTGACAAATAAGAAACTAGCTTAGAAAAGTAAAGGCTACCTTTGGGCTTTGATAAGTTCACAAAGAAAATGCCCCTTTCAATCCTAATTTCTTAAGAGTTGTCTTTCTAGGTAACATCTTGGCGTCACTGATAACCAACTTTTTGAAACTTCTACATTGTTTTCAAAGTCCCACATAATTTTGTAGTAAATTAATTTTTGGGGTTTGCTAAATCAATATAACCAGTATGATTATTAATGCATATTCATCAATTCATTTCATTAGACAAATGTACTAAATTCTGGGACCTGTGAATAAAACAGAAGAGGACCTTGCCCTAGCAGAGCTTACCATCTCATAGGTAAGTCAGATCATAATCAATACTGACTCTGATCATTGTAAATATGAGACTATGAAAATACTGAGCTTGGGGACCTCACTAAACCTAAGAATCAAGGGAAGATTGCCTGCAGAAGTAATGTTTAAGCAGAGTTCAGAAATATGGATGAGAAATAAGCCTGTATGTGTGTCAATACACACACGTGTACATGTTAATGAAGGAAGAGTGGGGTATTTTATTAAAAAGGATAAGAAAGAATATAACACTTGTACAATTTATCACTATATATATACAGCTTGAAAAAAAATATATATGTTTTGTTTTGTTTTAGAGAAAGAGAAAGTGAGTTGGGGGGAGGGCAGAAGGAAAGGGAGAGAACTGTAAGCAAGCAGACTCCACACTGACCATGGAACTCAACACAGGGCTTGATCTGGTATCCCCAAGATGGTGGCCTAAACCAAAAATCAAGAGTCAGAGGCTAAACTGACTAAACTGCCCAGATGCCCTATACAGCTTGAAAATATTTTTAAATAGCCACATTGTAAAAATATCTCAAAAGAATCCATTTACTTTTGGGGGAAAAAAATACATGGAGCACAACAAGCCATGCTTTTCAATTGCTAAGAAAGAGTGTTTTAAGTTTCTTTTTAAATATTTGTATATATATTATATAGAAATATTATATTTATTTATTATATACAAATGTTTAAGAAGAAATTCAAAACTCTTCCCTTAACAATTTATATATATAAAATATTTATGTATATATTTGAATATATAATCTATTTTATTTATAATTTATATATTTTAACATGATTTACATAAAACATTAGTCATTTATGTTATATATTTATATATATGTTTAAAAAGACCTTTCAAACTCTCCCCATAGCAATTGAAAAACATGTTTTGTTTTGAGGCTATGTATATTTTTGCCAAAAGTAAATAGCATGGTTCTTTTGAGGTGGTATTTTTAATGCTGCTATTTAAAAATATTTTCAAGCTGTTAATTTTGTCTTTAAAAAGTGTTTAATTTTGTCCCTACAGCAGGACATCAGGACTATAAAATTAAGAGATTCTATAAGGCACACGATTGTAACATGAAGCAAAAGGCTCGTAGAATATAACATATTCATGCTCTAACTTTTATAATGTTTCTGTTAGATTTTTAAGGAAAAGAAAACTATTCAAGGCCAAACTCCCCTGTGCTTTATTTTGATTTGCACTCATAAGTGGGAATGCATGGATTTCATGTGTCTTTTTTTTTTTTTTACATTTATTTATGATAGTCACACAGAGAGAGAGAGAGGCAGAGACACAGGCAGAGGGAGAAGCAGGCTCCATGCACCGGGAGCCCGATGTGGGATTTGATCCAGGGTCTCCCGGATCGTGCCCTGGGCCAAAGGCAGGCGCCAAACCGCTGCGCCACCCAGGGATCCTGATTTCATGTGTCTTTTCCTCTAAACCTCCATCTTCTGAAGAAGTAGAAACTACCCATGGGCCAAATCCAGCCTCTGCTTGTTTTTTATTGGAACACAGCCATGCCCCTCCTTTATGTATCATGCATGGCTGCTTCCATGCAACAAAAACAGAGTTGAACAGTATGACATAGACCATGGGGCCCACAAAGCTTAAATCTGACTCTTTGTTAAATTAAAATTTTTAAGATGCTGCCCTTGGTCTAAAACAGTATCTGGCAAGCTCAGGACCTAACATATACTTAAAGAATGAATACAAAGATAAAATAACAGGAGTTCATGTAAGCATTCAGCATTAGCTTTGTGCCATGTCCTATGCTCAGTCCTTTACCTGTGTTATTTCATGTTAATTTCACAACAGTCGTTAACACAATAGGCATTTCTCTCACCCTCAGTTCAGCTTTTTAGTCAGCTGCCATTACTTCAGTCAAGGCCTGCCTGAGCTCCTTATTTGAACTGTGAACTCTTACTTTTTACCAGCCCTTTTGTTTATTAAGTAGCACTTTACCTTTTTTTTTTTTTAATTTTTAAGACTACCTTTAATTCAAGTTTAATAGATGAGAGAAGTTTCTTACATGAGCAGTTAATCAAATAAGTTAGGGCTGAGCAAAGGAAACTAAAGAGAAAGTTTGATTACGATTTCAAAATGAGGAAAATTAGAATTAATGCTTTTGTTTGTTGCTTTCTGCTTTAAGTATAATTGGGTCCATTCTCCATCCTTAGGAAACTGTAGGAAAGGATTTGCTACATCTTACATAGGGCTTCTTTCCCCCCACCCCTTCAATTTTGTTAGTTAACATAGCATCATACTGGTTTCTGGATTAGCATCCACACAACACCCACTGTAGCACTTTACTTTTTAACATGTGATGTGTAATAATTATTTTGTATGATCATGAGAGTGTATTACTCCATGAAGGATAGAATTTATGTCTATTTCCTGATGTGTCTCAACCCATGAGCAGCCTAGAGTAGGGCTAGCACACAGTGAGTACCCAATAACATTAGGTAGTCGACTGGAGAGGTCAGATAATTTGTGGGGATATCCATGTAAGAGTATAGTTATGACCTACATCCTACATGTAGGATGACCTGACCTACATGTCACAGTTCATTTCTCTTACTTTCTTGGGTTTGTCAGAGAAGAAGCAAACAACAACCACTTTGCTATTGAAAAGTGAGTTTGAATCATTTTCTGACAATGGTTCTAAAGCTGGAATATATTTTATCTAAAGGTTACTATCTCAAAGCGGGTGTTTCCTGAAGACAACTTACTCAGATCATTGTCACTTGGAAGTGGTTGACATATCCTGGTGCAAATATACAAGGAAGAAGCAAGCAGGAAAATATGGATCAGCAACTGAAGAAAAGGGCAAAGACTTGTGGCCAGAAAGGCCTGGGTAGAAGAGCCTTCAGTAGAGATAAGCCAAGGCCATCCAAGCCACAGCCAGTCCAACAGGAACTTTGCAACACAACATGGGCCTTGGAAGATGAAAGTATGTTCTTTGAAACTAGCCATCTGGTTGTTGGAGAAGATTCCTTCTCTGACTGTTACATAGAATGCATAATAAGGGGTGAGTTTTCTGAACCCATCCTGGAAGAAGAGTCACTTAAGTCCCTTGACTACCTGGAAGAAGGATCAGAACAAGAGCTTTCTCAACAGGTTCTCACAGCAAGCTCACTTCTGGAAAAATCTCTGAAATGCATGCAAAAAGGAGCAAAGCAAGAACTTCCTCAACAAATTGTTAGAGAGAATTCAGAGCTTGAGAATTCTGAGAACATAAAAAGCAAGAAGCTTCCTTGTGGAGGAATACCTAGCATGGACTTATCCGATCCTAAACAGTGTACAGAATTTGCTGGAAAGAAACCAACAAAAGATAAGGAATCTGAGACTCCAGAAAAAATTGTTTGTCCCCACAGTGGATGCACAAAAAAGTTAAAGAGTAGAGCTTCCCTGAGAAAGCATCTCCTTGTCCATGGTCCTCGAGATCATGTATGTGCAGAATGTGGGAGAGCATTCAATGAGCGTGCGAAACTAAAAAGACATTTTCTGGTTCATACTGGAGAGAGGCCATTCCGGTGCACCTTTGAAGGATGTGGGAAACGCTTTTCCCTGGACTACAATTTGCGTACACATGTATGCATCCACACTGGGGAGAAACGTTTTGTGTGTCCCTTTGAAAGCTGTGGCAAGAGGTTTATTCAGTCAAATAACCTGAAAGCTCACATCTTAACTCATGCAAAGACCAACAAAAATCAATGAAAGAGAAGATGGAAAATAATCCTTTAACAGGATAAGCATATTAACAAAAGAGTGACGTGGGGACAAACATACCTTATTATTGTCTCCAGGAGAGAACTTTTAAAGCAATGGCAACCTTACATGGCATATTTTTGTTTTAATGTTACTACAATGCTCCTATAGTTTATGACACTATTTGAGAACACTATAGATTTACAGTGTGTTTCCAACAGGAAGGTCAATAATGAATTTACTTCAAAAGCATAATCCTTAATACATTATGAATTGGATTACTGGATATGGAACTTATTTTCACATGTTATAAATATGAAATTTTTTAAAGCATATTTCCAATTATTAAGCTTTTGCCTTTTAGGAACAAACTTCATGCTACGTGTGATAATCCTAAAGAATGAAAATTTGGGAGCAGACTGTCAGTAAGTGAATGAGTAGTTAAACATGTTTAAAAGTTCAATATATCTTTAATCATTTTTTATCATTGTATAAAACTATATTGAAATCATAGCCATATTTGAGTGACTATTTGATAGCATCAATTCACTGGAATCTGTTTTAGATATTTTGAGAGGAAATGAAATCCCAGAGATATGCTTAAATCTGGATTTAAAAAAAAAAATCAAAGACGTGTGTGTATATTGAAAAGATTGTCTTTGAAATTAAACATTGCAAAGATTAATATTGAAATATTGGTGAGGAGTGGGGGGAAAGTTACCCTTCTACATGGCTGGTTAAGATATAAATTGTCACAGCTATTTTCGAGAATATTTTGCAAGAATGCTTTATAAGTTTTCTAGGGCTGGTATGTAGTGTCTCAAAGTTCTGGAGGCTAAAAGTCCAAAACCAAGGTGTTGGTAGGGTTAGTTCCTTTTCAGTGTCATGAAGGGAAGGGTCTGTACCTGGCTTCACTCCTTGGCTTATAAATGGCCATCTTTGTGTTTACATGGTTGTCTTCCCATATGTCCCCAACTCTTCTCTTTGTGCATGTCCATGTCCACATTTCCTCTTAAAAGATACCAGTCATATCGGATTAGATCCCATTCTCATCCCATCATTTTAATTTGATTACCTCCATAAAGCCCTCATCTCTAACTAAGGCCACATTCTGGGGTATTGAAGTTAGGATTTTGACACAAATTTGGGGAGGTACAGTTCAACCTGTAATATGCATTCCCTTAGACTAAATAATTTCATTTGGAATTATATGCTACAGAAATAGTTGCACTGATGCACAAAGATATTTGTTCAAAGATGTTAAGCATATTTTTAATTTCTTATCATATTTTTAATTTATCATATATGTCCATTGAAGAGAATAGGTTGCATAAATCATGATACCTCTTTTCAGTAGAAAGTATGTAATATCCTTAAAGGAACTCTAACAGTAAAGGGAAGGAAATAGAACCACAGCCAGAGGGAAGCCACAGACTAGGAGGAGGAGGTTTGTTATTTTTAATAGATAATAAAATTAATAAAATAAATATTCTGGGACAGAATCTAGGGTATTTATATACTATGGGAAAAAATTAGAGAAAGTGGTTCAATGTATTTTGGCTATGGGAAGAATTGTTTTGTCCAGAAGTGACTGGTAAAAATAAAACTATCACTTCAATATGGGGATTAACCGAATCTCCGATTGAAATAGTGTTATGATCAGCAGAACATATGCAGCTATCAACCTTGGAGTGCATTCCCCTCCCTACATTAATTAATAGTTTAAATACTCAGTGGTTAACATATCACAATTGACCTTAAGATTTAAGACCCTATTGGAGGTAATGGTAGCATGTACCATAAATTTAACAGCTTTTCAGAAAAAAAAATACAAAACACTATATAAGCAGATCAACTTGAATATTTAATTTTGATTTGAGAAATGGCAAAATAGACAATCACATGACTTAAAAGCAATTAAAGAAAAAACGAAGGGATTATATTTTGACCTCGTTAGGCCAATTTACCCTGGAATATTATGGAAACTTTATCACATTTGGTATGGCATTTGTACCATCATTTCAATAGGAATGTGGGTCCTGAGTTTTTAACTTAAAAGGAAGAGTGGGTATACAATCCATTCATAAATTGGAATTTCTTATAAATCAAACACCTGAGTATAGAATTTAGGGTGGGAATTTGGTATTTGACCAAGATGATGAAGCATATGTTTGGCTTTTGCTTGATATTAATTTGTTTGTTTTGGTCCTCTGGATTTCTACAGCAGAGCTAAATTAGGACATAGGCTATAGGGAAGCAAAAAGGCAGGACTGAATAAAGAGCAGTCAAAACTAAAAGTCAGTGACAGGGTCTAGGCAGCAAGCTCTTAAGACCTGGGCAGCAGCATCAAAAGGGAAAAGGATTAAGATTGACTTCCCCTTGTAAAGGCTGGCCTACTTCTGTAGATTACTCCTGGAGCTGAGGGGGCCCAAAACTCACTATTTACAACTCTAAAGCTTAAATGTACAAGAAACACCAATATGAGAAAATGTTTGTGTATCTAGATTCCAAGACTTAGTTAAATTCTGACTTGGGAATAGGATGCTCCTTGGCTAACCTTCTAGTTGTTTGTTTTGTTCCCAAAGAAGATCCCTAAAACTGCTAAGAATGAAGGGGAAGAAGGTATGTGGATGGAAATTTGGCAAAGGAACAGAACAGGGAATTAGCTAATGAGGATGTGTTGCCTAAATTCCTAATAACAATGTTTTGGAAAGGAAATATACATCCACTTCTCTACATTTGTATTCTAAGGATGAATACAAGATGTGTGAACATGGAAAAAGGAAAATGGAAAACTGAAAAAGGAAATCAATCCATCTAGATTTTCACATGTTTCCAGGTACCAGCATGTTACAAACCCAAAACCCTGAAAAATGAACAAATGTGTGTTTTTTTTTTTCTGTTTTCATGCTGGTATTTGGACTCATGGGCCATATCATTTTTTTTTTCTTTTTTTACGGCCAAACCGTAAGTCAGAAGGTAACACCAGAGAAATGGCTTTCCACAAAAAAAAATAAAATTGTGAAGCAGCCCATCACTTTCTTGGGATCTCTAACATGTAGGTCATAGTTAGTTGGCACAATAAATTATGGAAGGAATAAATGTAAAACCATAGCTTGATATGCTTTTTAAAAAACTAATTATGAGGTTCTCAAAATTATATATAATTTAAAAACAGCTAATTACTTGTCTTTACATAAAATCTCCTGGTTACTGTGAAATAAGGTGAAAAACTTCACTAAAGTAGTATTTGCTCATCAAAAGAAAAAAGATATATTGATTACTCAATACGTGTATTAACTCTCACTCTCTAAAAGGAATCACCACTCTTAAAAGATTTTTAAAAGTTGTTCTATTGCTTGGTCATTTTTTAAATAGTGATAATTATCTTAAATCTCTCTCTCTCTCTCTCTCTCTCTCTCTTTTTTTTTTTTTTCCTGTCCTTCTCCAAAATGGGGAGGAGACTGGGGTCTATTTATGTCCTAACATCTTGGATAATGAAGCACTAATCCACATTGAGAATTAAATCCATCAAGACTGATTAATTAAAAATGTGTTAAGATACCTTCCAACTTTAGTTTCTTTTATTTCATTCTCTGATATGTATACAGATCTCCCAGACAGCCATATTTGATTTCTTTTTTTTTTTTTTAAGATTTTATTTATTTACTCATGACAGACACACAGAGAGAGAGAGGCAGAGAACACAGGCTGAGGGAGAAGCAGGCTCCATGCAGGGACCCTGATGTGGGACTCCATCCCAGGTCTCCAGGGTCACGCCCTGGGCTGAAGGCAGGAGCTAAACCGCTGAGCCACCAAATACGGCTGCCCCATATTTGATTTCTTCGTTTCACCTTCGCTACAACATACATTAGTGGACACAGGATTTCTATCCTATTCTATCTAAAAAAAAAGAACTTTATACAAAAGCAATTTGTCAGATTCTTTTCTGTGGAATATGCATGTGCAGAAATCTGTGTGTGCTTATGTTTTAATTACCTAAAGCACTAGCTCTGAATAAATTGCATGATTACATCCTACATTGGACACAGAACAGTGCAAGATATATTAAAAAGCCATTATATTTGCAACTCTGAGCAAGAGACTATAATTAAAAGGCAATTGGATGAAATTAGCTTTGAGAGTACAAGAGTTTAAGTAGGATTTGGTAAATGAACATTAATGGTTAACATGTGGTTTTTATTATGTCTTTTGCTTCTTCTGTCTGTGACCCCAGGGTTGAGTTTCTTAGATTTCAGTGGACCAGACATGTGAAAACACCTGTACAAAGCTATGCTTTAACATGTGGCTAAAGTTATATCCATAAAAGAAGGCAACATAACTTTTGTGACTTTAGTAAATCAAAGGTATTAGGTAAGCTAGAATGATACCCTGGGCATTAATAAACTATTTCTAATGCTCCTAAGATCTCAGGTATGTGTCATAAAAGCATAGTTCACACTTCCTGCAGCTCAAAATGTTGGTCATAAAATACACATGTACAAATCAAAGAAGGAATAAAACTTTAAAGAATTTTGATTATCGTGACCATTAAATATAAAAAACTTGTTAAAGTTACACACAATATCTTTCTCACACAATATCTTACACACACTTCACCTTTCTCTAAGGCAACTGGTTGCAGACTACTGAAGATTCGACATCGTTCTGATATTTTCATGTGTGGAGAGGAGGTGGAGATCTTTGTGTTTATCAGGTATATATGCCTAATAGATCTACTTAGGGCAGATTAAAGATAACTGCAAATTCTTTCCTATTCCTCTCATTAAGAGTTGGAGTCTATTTCCCCTCCCCTTGAGTTTCTGGTGGTCTGTGAATATCTTGATCGATAGAGTTAGGTGTAAATGATGCTATAATAGCTATGCCAATTTCAGTCCTGGTAGCTATTGCCCTGCTCTCTTGTAAACTAACTGCCATTTAAGAAGTGTAACTACCCTAAGACAACCATCATCCTGGGCAAAATCCAGGCCACATGCTGAGGACCTATA